AAGCAAACCCACTCGAGGGATGGGATTTTTGCATCCAGGCTGTTGCGACGCAATCCTCACAGAAAGCAAAAAAGCAGGGTTTCGCTACAGAGGTTTTTGTTTCTTGGGTAGGAATGACCTCCAGCACAGCTCTGAGTATCTGACCCACTTCAGTACAGGGCATCTGCTCTGAGTTGGCTGCAAAGTCCTCCAGGACTGACTCTGAACTAAACCACTCTTGGCTAAGGATGGGAAATTGTTGTGCAATAAAACACACAGCACAAACTCTGCATCCTCTGGGTTGCTCATCTCTTATCTGTCGTATCCTTATTACTTAATGAAGCAGATAAGGAAACTCTGGGATGAAAGACGCTTCATAAATTTTTTGCTATTTTATTAATCTCATCTCCATGAGGGTGGAAACAATTGTGTAACGTTAGTTATCCAGACAGACTCCAGATTTCCAGATGCAATTAATAGATGGCTACACTGACTCGAATGCAATATCTATTTAATAACCGATACGCTCGGAGCTACCCTGGTACGACGTTGGACTCAAATGCTATTGTATCGTCATGGTAACACCCCTCCCCAAATTGCAATAAAATATTTAAACAACAACAAACAGCATTACCAACGTCATCAAATAGCATCTGGCGTAAAGTCCGGTGCTTTAGTGCCAAGGCCATTAAATATGGTGGATTTAAGGCGGGAAAGGTGGAGGGAAAACGCGGCTGGGAGGGCATCGGGTCTCTCCTGCAAGGAGCTGAGCAACTGTTAGGGTTTGAGAAACCCACAACAATTTATTGCCATTTTGACAATTATTCTCTCACCCCATGACCTCTCCCCACCCAGGAAGGGGAACTGGGGAAAAAACAGGAAACCCGAGGGATGAAATATAAATATATTTAATAGGATAAGGCTAAACAATTAACATTAATAATACTAAAGAACCAATATTGATCCCAATACAAAACACACAAGGATTATACTCAGCATATTCTATCCATAGAAGCTGTGCGCTCCCAGCAGTGACAGCAAATGTGGGACACTGCGAGTGCTGCGGCTTCAGCAGAAAGAGAATGACTCAGGGCTCCGGCACCGGGAGAAGGAGTTCTCAGGGTCACAGCCATCACAGGAAAGAGAGAGAGAGAGAACTCCTCAGCAAACTTTCTAATTTCTATTGAACAAGACATTCATGGTATGAAATAATCCTCCTGGCCAGCTTGGGTCAAGTGCCCGGGTCTCACTCCTTCCTCCTCATCCCCGCACCCGGGGACATCAAAACCACTCACACCTTGAAACCGGCACTCTATAGCTGGCTAGAAAGTTAATATTTTCACAAATTCACACACTAGAGTCTTCTAAAAGTGTGTTTTTCCCAAGCATTAGAAGATAAATTAGTCCAGCGTCACTCAAACCAGGACAGCAACCCTGAGCTTGCAAAAAACTTTAAGATGGTTTGCGCTTGACCACAGTGCTCCATCCAAAAGGAGAGCAACTGCAGATCATTTTCTTTTGAGGAACGGGTATCCTTAAGCCTTCCCAACCCAACATCTTCTGCAGGCAAATGGTACACGGTGCTCCCCCTGCCCAGGGAACAAAACCTTTCCCAAACGCAGGAAATCTGCCCTTAAATCCTCAACCAAGAGCCAATTCCCTGTGACAGATGAGGACTTGAAGACCCCGTGGTGGTTTGTCACCCACCGCAGCAGCGAGGGCAGGATGCTTACATGGGGACGTGCTCCTCTTCCTCACCTCCCACAAACGACCATCCCTAGGCAAACCGCAGCACCCAATTTTTTTTTTACGGATGGGAAAACCGCCTTCTTGAACGGCAGAGAGAAAAAAATAAATCTCTCTAATAGGATAGAGCATCTTAGGGAGATGGGCAGAGTGGGGCCACAGAGGCACTCTGCGAGGAGAAATATGAGCTAATAAACTCATTAGCCTTGCTTTTGAGAGCCCGCTTCTCGCCAGGGTGGCCGGGACCTGAGTGGCCAAGCCAAGGAGGGCAGCAGCTTCCCGGCACTTACGCTCTGATAGATCCTTTTTGTGCCCAGCGCTGCAAAACCCTGCACAGGGCCGAATGCCCGTCGGCACCTTGGAGACAGCCCGGGCATCGCAACTGCATCTCGTGCCTGCAATCTGCCTTTCCATTTGAATGCAAACTTGTTCGGATTGGTACAAAAATAAATAGATTGGCAAGCTTTTTTTTTTTTTTAGCTGAAAGGCAAAGTCATGATTGACATATCATTTTTCTGCCCCGCTAAGAAGTGATGGATGGAGGTTTGGCTGCAGCACCTACCGCAGCCTTGCCCGGGAGATCGAACCTACATGGAAGGGAGAAGACAACCTGGAGGTACCCACGGCACGGCCCGGGGTTGCTTTTCTGCTTTGCATTTCCCTGCTCAGAAGGAAGGGTTTATTTTAGATTAACCGAAACCCTCACTGTAGAAACGCACCTCAGAGGAGGGTTTTGCTCAAAACTGAGCAGAATTGCGAGAAAGCCAACTGGCTTTTTGGGACCCGTGTTGCGGGTGCAAGAAAAAAATCCAGTGGTGGCCAAAAATCCATCAAAAATTCCAAGACAGGAATACACACAAACCTATTGGGTAGAGAAACATGGAAGGTCCGACCAGTCTACAAGGAACTGGGAGTTATTTGAGCACGACAGACCCAGTGGTGGAAGAAGGCAAAAGAAGCCGCTTTGCTCCCCGTACTGAGGCTTCTCCACCACAATGTAAGCAAGACGGCGGTTGTCGTCAGAGCTAAGGCAGCCGCGAAACCATATTTTCTTCCTTCCCCCCCCGTATTTGATTTTGCATCAAATGTTCTTGTCAAGGAAGGGGGGGGCGGGAACAGAAAAAAGGGGAAAAAAAAAAAAAAGGAAGCGGTTATTAAAATGTTAGGACAATTTTCTCCTTAGTGATACAATTACTATATAATTATACGATATTTTAATATGAAATAATGGTCTAATTATTTTCAGGATGTTTGTACATTTCCATCTATCTCCAGCATTTTTACGGTCTGTAATACCAGGTCCTCCAAGCAGCCCAGACCCTTTTTATTATATTTTTTCCTTCCCCGTCAGAGCCCCTGTCTGGGAGAACTGTTGTTATTCCCATTTTTAATCCTGATGGGCAGCTGAACCTAGAGCATCCCCAAGAGAATATTTCAGAGGTCGCTTGGGACCTACGGTTTGGGAATTGCTGCCGAAATATAAGATTTGGGGCCAGTTTTCCCCAAAACGCCGCTAGTTTGCTCCCTCCTGCCTCCCTGACCCCGTCCTTGCAATGCCGGCACGGTCCGATGAATTTTGCCATCTCCTTTCCACCACGAGACAGCGTTGCAGACAAGTCGATGGTGGTTGGAAAGGTCTCTAGGCGATGCGGTTGGGGTTTAGCTCATCATTATGGCGATTATTTGGATGGTTTATTAACCAGGAGAGTTTCTACAGCGTTTTAAACCAATGGGGGAAGTCCTCCTAAACGCACTGGCACAAAAAAGGTCGGGGATGTAAAAGCATTTCTGGCTGGTTGCAACCAAGCACTGGCTTTGCTTTCTGGAGGTCGCAGCCTCAAATGTTTCTCCAAGCAAGTATTTCACCAGAAATGACCCAACTTTTGTGGAAATTCCTCGTTTTCCACCATTTGCATGCTGGAGTTTGAACCGTCAGGTCGAGCCCCAGCAGCAAACTGAGGCGTGTTGACTTCCCACTGCTTGGGAGGGAAAACCCAACATAACCCGCTTCGAACCCCGTGATAAAAGCTCACCCAAACCTCATCCACCTCAGCAAACCCGCTAACGAGGGGCTCAGCCAACACCAGGCGTTTGAAGGATGAGGAAGAGGAAGGAGATGAGTCCTCGTGGCGTCCCAGGAAAGATGATTGCAGTCCAACAAGGGGAAAACGAGAAACGTGGATGCAGAACCCAGGAGACCTTGATGCCAGAGCATCGCTAACACCCATTGCCTCGGCTCTTTCTAACCAGCTTCAATTTCAAGTACCAAACAGATTTTTGAGGGATAATTATCAGGTGGATTAGGTGGATTTTCAGCTGCACAAATGCGATAAGGTTTGGTGCCCTGGGGCTGAGGAAGAGCTGACAGCAGGCCCTTCTGCGTATCTATATACTAATCCCTACATCTTTGCCCCTGCATCAGCCACCCAAAAATGCAATACAAAGGAGTATTTTCCATCTAGGAAAAAAATTAAAAGGAAAAACTGTTCGTTCTCTGAAAGGAGAAGGGATGAAAGGAAAATTAGAGGAGGTTGCAAATGCCTCGGGCAGTAACACACGCAGAGCAATGCAATGTTTCTCCTCTTCCCAGAGCTTGACATGGAGCAGAGAGGGAATAAAATACAACATTTGCGACATTCTCACTTAATCCTTCTAGTGCTTCTGGCTGCTGTTGGCTTTGCAAAACCAGATTTGCAGATGGATAAATTCAATCTGCCTCGTTGCCACTGGAGCTTTCCTCGTGAATGACAACCGATGTTTGGGGGAAAGGGCCCATGAACTGGGCAGATGTAGGTGGCATCTCAGATCACCCATCCCATGCCGATCCAGCACTCTTCTTTTTCGTTCTCCTCCTGTAACACTTGGCACTGTGATCTACCGGAGAGAGGTGAGTTTGCGCGGGTGCAAAACTACCGGGCACTGCCAAAGTGGCTGCTGCCAGATGGCAGCATAGAGGCTGGGTTTGTACAAATTGGTCTTCGCAGAAGCAGCCGGTTGCATTAGCAAAGCTGTTTTTCAGCTAAAAGTTGATGAGTGTCTCACACGGGATTCGGATCTCGAGGGTAAGATGCTGCAGGAGAATTAGAGCATTGACTGGGGGATCCTCCATAAAGGGATTACTCGATGCTGTTTGCGTTGCACAGAGCGAGGGGCTGCCAGGATGCATTAAGCGGGTGGCAAAAGTACGACCTCCATGGAAGGGAGACCTAAAACAGCCCCAAAAGCTGCAACACTGGGGCTTTCCAGCCTTGATTTCTCCTTTTCCCACCTTGCAGGTACATGGCTATTATCCATCCGCTGCAACCCCGGCTCTCGGCCACCGCCACCAAGGTGGTCATCGGCATCATCTGGCTCCTGGCTTTCCTGCTGGCTTTCCCCCAGGGTTACTACTCGGTGATGGTCGAGCTGCCGGGCCGGCTGGTATGTATGGTGGAGTGGCCGGAGCCCAGCACCAACGCATACGGAAAAACGTGAGTTGAACTTTTCCAGCAGTGGGGGCAAGTCACCGTACAGAAAAAATGCAAAAAAAAACCCCAAAACCACATATATAAAAATATGTATAAATAAAGGAAATGAGGAAGGATGGGAATGACTCAAAGCTCCTTGGGATGGAGAAATCCTCCCCCTACCCCAGTGCTATGTAGTTGATGGTAGCAGAATCGCCATCCATATCATCTTGGGGCACATTCAGGTTAGTCAAGGTGAGTTTAGTGCTGCTCCTTGTCCAGACATTGCTCTCTGCCCTTCTTGGATGCTCATCCTCAAGGGCAACTCATGTAAAACCGCTAAGATGCAATATTTTGGCTGTGGGGGTGGGGTCTGCATTGCCCCCAGGAGCTTATTCCTACACACAGGTATGGCTCTGGTTTTTGCAGCACCTTTCCTGCAATCCATATCTCTACAGGCTTCCTGGGGCAAGAGTTACTCCTGCAAGAGGTAAATAGGGTTTCACTGAGGGTATCTTGGCCAGGCAATAACAGAAAAAAAACCCAACAAAACAAACCTGATTTAGGATTTACCGAGTCCAAAAGCCCCAAAATTCACCCACCTGCTTAAAAACCAAGCTACAAAAAAAGACTCTGTGGCATCAGCTCAGGCTGGGAG